CTACCAAAGACAGGAGACAGGAACACTGTACACGTGCTCGGGCCCTCCATGTGCCTTTTTAGGTTTCCACCACCAAAGACCAGAGGTTTAATCTCTAGAGAAACCGACTCTGAGGAACTCTGTACTCTGCAACTTGGTGGGCAAGAGGAAGATGTCATACTGAAAACAGATGGGCTGAAAGGAGATCCATACAGAGAACGCAGCAATTCTAGAGACTTGATTTACAGTGCTGGCAGGATTTATCTTTTCTCCCTCATTATTTTCTAGTTTAATTCACTAGTTCTATTCTTTCTTTAAGAATGGAAAACAAAGATAACTGAACAGTCAAAGGATCCCTCACATATAAAAAACTAAAAGAAAAAACTCCAAGAAAATATTTAACTAAAAAAAAAAACACCACAGAGAAAATAGCAAATATAAGAAAACTTCAGAGAAATATGAAACTATCGTATTAAATATGTCCATGAAATAAAAGGAAGATGATCAGAAAGGAAAATCAGATTAACAAGGAGGAGCTCCTAGAAAATAGTATATCACTATCTTCCCCTACTTCCCAAATTCTCTGTTGAGAAGAACGCAGAATAAAGTCATTGTCAGATATGCTAAGACTCAAAAATACCTCCCAAACACCATTTTCTTGAGACTTCACTGGAGAGTATGGTCAAGCAAATAAAAGTAAACTGAGAAAGAAAAAATTATGACATATAGGAATCAGATTCTCATGAGGCAGAAAGGATAGTGGTAAAAGAAAGTCCAATCTGAGACTACACAGCAAGTCTACAGAGCAACTAGTCTATCCTGGAGCATCAAGATGAAAAAATGGACCAGGTGGTTCTGTCGCTGGACTCCCACACAGGTGACCGCAGTTTGACTCCTGGACCTGGTGGCTTAAAACTTATGCCAGGCATGCATGCATTTGTGGCCAAAATGCCAAGATGAGAATGGAGAAGAAGGGACTGCTGCATGGCACTCCCCCAACCCTCCCCGGGTGATTTCTTGCTTGCTGTTTCTGTCTCTCTAGTGAGAGCATGCACCCCATAACAAAAATCTCTTTAAAAAAAAAAAAAGATGGAAAAACCTGAACTGACAGAATTGTGTGGACAGTTTCACAAGTGAAAAACTCTACAGAGGCTACTGAGAGATACCGTAAAATATTTATTAGGTTGTTGGAAAAGTCATGATGCATTTTTACATAAAAATAACAGAAAAATGTCATGACTTTTTTGATGACCAAATAGTTGTAAGTATGTGGGAAATTAAGCAAATGAAAATGTGAGACAATTGTGAAGTCTAGGAAAAATGAGGGGTTGCAGAAGAAAGCAGATATAGCCAGAAGGTATTACCTGACTACTGACAGTGATTACATAGTCTATGTTTTTAAACACTATTCTAAATACAATTCTAAACACAATTTTGTTAACAGTGACAGAGTTATGTTTAAGTGAAAAGAAAAGAGGCAGAATGGTTTGGCAAGGAAAAGAAAAGGTAAAAGGAGTAAATCTGTAATGTGTAAAGCTGAAAATGTAAAACAGCACTATATGCACATTATTCAGAAATTTGGAAGTAAAGGGAAGTTTCCAAGGAAAATGGGGAATGTTTCTAGAGAATAAAACTGGTGATTGGTGAGAATTGACAGTTATCTTCTGCTATGAACTTTTTAAAAATAATGTATGACTTTTCAAAATAGAGTATAATTTGTCCAAAAATAAAAATAATAAGAAATAAAGATGATTCATACAATGTATCTGAAATTATAACAGTGTTTTGATTTTCATGCCTTTGGAAGTACTTAATAAATCACAAATAAAAGATAATACTTATTGATTATACTATAATTAGAAAATAAAGATAAGCACGGGGCCATCAGGTAGTATAGTGATTAAGGCACTGGACTCCAACATGGCTGACTGCAGTTCAAATCCCAGACCTGGAGGCTTGAAATTTATGTTGGTCAGAGCACATTCAAAATTTTTTTCCAAAATATATTTAGGTCAGGGTTCAAGCAGGTGGAACGGTGTTTGAAGTCCTGGACTCCCACATGGCCCACCACGGTTTGCATCCCCGGCCTGGTGGGTTGAGAATCAAGCTGGGTGTATGTGCATACATGCCCAAAATCCCAGAGAGAGAACAGAGAAGAGACTGTGGCATGGCCACTCCCTCATGGGGTGATTTCTCATTCAATCTGTATCTCTGGGTGAGAGTATGTGCTCTAAAGCAAACATCTCTCTTAAAAAACAAACAAACAAACAAACAAAAAGAAGAAAATGAGTTAAATAAAAATCTTCTAATTTTTCTTTTTTGAGGGACTATGTCTATATCAAATACTTTTAACGACTTTGGAGCTGAAGAGATGAAAAAGTATGGCAAGAACTTGCAAAGGAAGAAAAAAAATTCTGACAGATTTTCACCCTCTGCCATTTCTCACCGTCCTCCTACACTATCTTAGGTGTCTACAGTTGTTTTCCATTCCTTCCTCTCCCCCCATATTTTATTGATTCACAAAGTTTCTTAAAAGTAATCTAACTACTTTCAATAGCAAGTTCAGCTGGTATGTACATATCTGTGAATACATGTCTGACTTTAGGCATGAAACTCTGAGTAGAATGAATATACTATAAGGTAGCACCTAGCTGATGCTATAGAGTTTACTATGGTCATTAAATAGGTATTTTTTAATATATTTTTAATTTCAAGAAAAGCAGTTTTAGCTTAAATAAATCAAAGAAATACTAAGAAACTTTACTTAAAACTTAAAAGCCAGGAAACAGGTTAGGATTCTGTTAAAAAAAAAATTATATATGTATATATATATGAAACTAGAAATGGAAAAATTAATGACGATAACATACATGATTAAGCCACTATGCACCATATTTGGATGGGAAATCACATTCTGTATGCTGTGACAATGTTCAGGGAATGAATGTAAATTAATTAATTAATTAAATATGTTTCAGAAGAAAATTACAGTGCACTTTTAACTAGATTCTAGCTTTGTCCATAGTTTTAGTTTAAGGTATTTTGTGAACCAATAAAATGTGGGAAAAAATAAAAAACAATTAAATAAAAAAGAAACATAAAACAGAAAATTATTTGTTGATGATAATATGTATGGTAATATCCTTGATTGAGCCAATATACAATGTATTCTGGATGGAAAATCTCATTTTGTATACCCTAGTGATGTAAAATGACTGACTATAAATAAATTACTTAAAATTAAAAAAACATTTCTGACAGATTTAAGATTCCACACTATTTGTAGGGTAGAGGGAATGAGAGAGAGTAGGAAGAGGATGAAAGAAGAAACTGAGAAAAGTTTCCTTTTTATAAAAAATAATTAATTATTTAATTTTATTTATAATTTTTTAATTTGACGAGAGAGACAGAGCAGGAAAGTGAGAAAGCAAGCCGCCATGTCCAGGACTCAAACCATGGTCAGCCATGTGGGAGTTCAGCACCTTAACCACCACATCACTGCTGGCCCCTGAAAAGTTTCCTTTATTATATACGGTAAATAACATTATCTGAGAAAATAAATCACATGTAAACAAATAAAGAATATATACTTCTATGTATAGATATATGTATATACATTTATAAACATGTAAACACGAGTACAGGAGACTTGGTTATTTATGTAACAGATATTGCTTCTTGTTAGAAGGACATTAGAAAGACAAATAAAGCATGTTAAAAATAGATCCCCTACAGAAGTGAGAGGAATGAAAGAACACTGAATATGGAATGGTTCAGATTACTTGTAGTGCTTAACTAACGTAAAAGAGTATAATAGAGTTCTCTGTCAAAGTTCTACTATAATGAAGAGTATATAGAATTAAAAAAATGAGATTTTCATTTTAAGCCTTAGCCAATAAAATAGAAAAAGACATTTATATATTAATAGTATCTATTTTAGGGACTAGCAGTTGCGTAATGGCTATGTCCCTGAACTCCCCTGTAGCCGACCGTGGTTCAAGTCCCGGACCCAGTGGCTTAAACTTACGCCAGGTGCATATGTGCGCATGTCCAAGATCCCAAGAGAAGAATGGAGGAGAAGGGATTGTGGCGTGGCCATCCCCCTGGGGGGTGATTTCTTGCTTTCTATCTCTCTCTCTATCTCTGTCTTTCTGGTGAGGGCACTATAGCGAAAACCTCCCTGCCCTCCCCGCCCAAAAAAGTATCTATTTAATATTGTTTGATTTATGTTGCTAAATAAATCTGTACGTCAATTTCTTTCTTTTTTTTTTTTTTGCCATAGGGCACATGCACTGAAACTGGAGAGGGAGAGAAAGACAGAGATAGGGAATGTGAGAAATCACCACCCCCCAAGGGGGACGGCCTGCTGCAATCCCATCTCTTCCATTCTCCTCTAAGGCTTTTCGGCATGTACACACACGTGCACAATGTGATTTTCAAGCCACTGGGCCCAGGACTTGAACCATGGTCGGCCATGTGGGAGTCTAGCGCCTTAACCACCACGCCACCTGTTGGCCCCTGTATTCCAAATCTCTTTTATTAAAAAAAATAACATATTTGTCTGCTCCCAAGTGTTTTAAAAAAAAGTATGTAGAAATTTTCTGGCTACATACTCTTTATTGAGCCCATTCACATTATTTACATAAGCTCTCTTTGCTATTATCAAAACTGCCATGATAGTTATATTATTATAACAGAATACAGCAAATCTAAGTGTCGAATGATAGGACATATCAAGCTTGTAGTTAACTATTAAAACATCAAAAATTTCTGGTCCATATTGGTTTTGTCTTTATCATACCCTTATTATTCAAAAGGTTACACAACTTTTATTAATAAAATTAAAAGAACATTCTAACTCCTGAAATATATACTGCCAGGGAATTAATCATAAAAATAATTACATTAACCTGCAATATATTTTTGTATAGTAAAACTAATTAAGCAATGATGAAAAAATCTGAATTTGCATGCATAAATAGTTAAGAGTTGCCATAATTAGAAATAAAAAAAAAATTTACCTGACATAGAGGGATCGCTTCTGGCTAGTTCGAAGAGAACCTGACCCTGAACTAATGCTACTATTCATCATCTGCTCCCGTAAGTCATGTATTTTAGCTTCAAAACGACTGTATTCTGATGGAAGAAAAAGAGAAATAAATTCATATTTTATAGTCTCAAAAATAAGTTACCTGAAGATCAAGTGTTAGATATGCAAACTGTCTTATAATTCATTAAACGTGGTTAGAACTTTAAAATAGTAAACTAACCTGTATACAATTTTTGTACAGTATGAAAATTTAACCTTATAAATAAATGTACCATAAGCCAGAACTGGCTGAGTTACAGTCTTCCTGTGTGCTTTTTTAAAGTTTGATTCAGGGCCCGGTTGTGGTGGCACGCGCTGCTAAGACTCCGTGCTTCCCAGACGGGGATGGCGCACAAGGCTCAGATTTGATTCCCAGCATTTCATAAAGGCCAGGCACGGATGCATGCTTCTCAAGGCAGCAACCTGGAAAGCTGAGGCTGGAGAAAAAAGAGCTGGGGCTGATACAACACGGTGAAACCCTGTCTAAAAATATCCCAGCATGATGGCACGTGCCTGTAGTGTCAGCTGGGTGGCTAAGGTTACCAGCGACTCTGTCTAAAACGAGGTGTTTTTTTTTTTTTGCTATAGGGTGTGTGCGCTTGCCATAGAGACAGAGAGAAAGAAAACAAGAAATCACCCCCTGGGGGGATGGCCAAGCTGCAATCCCTTCTCCTCCAGTCTCCTCTTGGGATCTTGAGCACACATACACACGAGTCCGGCGTGAGTTTAATCAGCTGGGTCCAGGACTCGAACCACAGTCGATTACATGGGAGTCCAGTGACATAGCCATCATGCCAACTGCTGGTCCCCTAAAACAAGTTTCTATCACATTTAACCAATTAAAAGAAATTTCTGGGCCAGCCTTTGGCCTGGTGTTTAAGGTGGCTAGATCCTAGATGGCCAATCCAGGGGGGTTTGATTCCTGGAACTGTACGCTTAGAAAACACTCCAGGCCCATGTATGTATATGAGCCCCAAATCCCAAAAGCAAGAAGTGGAAGAGGGACTGTTGTGTGACCATGCTCCCTTTTATTCTTTGTTTCTTGGGTAAGCATGTGAGACTTTGGGTTAAAAAAAAAAGACATTTCAATGTGTTACATGTTTAAGTATAAATTTTAAAAATCAGGGCTAATTCTAATTCTTAAACATTTGCTACAGGGTGTGTGTGTACTAAGAGAGGGAGGGTGAGAAAGAAAGCACCCTCCCACAAGAGTTATAGTCACACCACCATCCCAACTACTCTAGTCTTCTCTTGGGATTTTGGCATGCATGCACACATGTCTGGTGTGTTTCTCAAGCCACTAGTCTGGGACTCTAATCACACAGTTGGCCATGTGGGTCCCAGCTGCCTTAAACACCATGCTCCCAAACTGGCCTCAATTCTAATTTTTATATTAAGAAAAATACCTTTACTGATTAATGTAACTAGATATTTTGGTTCCAGCCTTTTCCCCTTCAGAGAATCAGTTTTTCTTACATTCTTAAATGTAGGACTTATGCAGCCTCAGAATAATGAGAAAAATATACCTGAAAAACCTGATACATTATTTTAACTCATTCTATAGTTTATAAATCGTCAAAATGCTAAAATAAGATACAAAAGCAATCTGATATAACACTCACAAATATTTCATGTTTCTAATATAAAAACAAGTATGATTTTGAAGGGTTTTAAACTATTTTAAGCTATGTAATACATTAAAAATACTAAATCTATTAATAACAAAACCTTTAAGAACTTTTAAAATAATAGTACAATAGTGTGGTTATATCCATGTATTTTTTTCTCTGTTTATAACAAATATAAACTTTTTATAATTAGGTCAGATGAAATCTTATTTTCTAATGAAGCAAGTCTTACAGCAAACCTGTCCTGTCTGAGAGATTGCACTGTTGTGAAGACAGAGAGGGAGTAATAAGCACATGGGGCTGAACAGTGGCGCGGTGATAAAAAGGTTCCAGGTTTGCATAGAGACCTCTCTGAACATGCCAGGCATGCGTGTGCCCATGGCCCTTGGCTGGCTGAGGACGGGGGTAGATCATGATGTGAAAACCCTGGTCGGGTGCTGCCTTTCTGTTTCACGGAAGAGGTAAATAAATTAACTTAAAAAGAAAAGAATTGGCATGATTATTGCCCAGGTACTCTTCACCATAGTCACCAAGTTTGTTTTATAGACATACAATTAATTGAACAATTCATCAAAAGTCAAATATTTAAAAGCTTACACAATATCTAATAAAATATTTTTATTGATATGAAATAATAAAAATTTAAAAGAAACACATTAATGAACTGGCTAGCATAATGTATTCATTATAATTTCATAATTTTAATCCACGGCAGACTTTCTTCAGTATGTATAAGCACAGTTATGAAACAGCCTGATAAATGGAGATACAGATTAAAAAATATAAAGCACAGGGGCTGGGAAGTGGCACGGTGGTTAGGGGTGCTGGATTCCTACGTGGCTGACCACAGTCTGAGTTCCAGGCCTGATGGCTTGCTTTCTTTTTCCCTTTCTCTCTCTCTCTGGTCAAATTAAAAACTAACAATAACAAATGGAATTAAATATATAAATAATTCTAAAAAATAAGATACCAAGGGAACCAGCAGTTAGCGTAATGGCTATGTCGCTGGACTCCCACGTAGTCGACCGCGGTTCGCGTCCCAGACCCAGTGGCTTAAAACTCACGCCGGGCGCGTGTGCGTGCGTGCCCAAGATCCCGAGAGGAGAATGGAGGAGAAGGGATTGCGGCGTGACCATCCCCCCTAGGGGGTGATTTCTTGCTTTCTGTCTCTATGTGTCCCTCTGTCTGGCGAGCGCACGTACCCTACAGTGAAAATCTCTCCAAAAAAAAAAAAAAAAAAGATATCAAGTCCATCATGAGTGTATACTGATTCTTTTATGATAGAAATGCACATGCACACGCACGCATGAGAAGCACCCGTAACAAGGTCTTGTCATGCTGTGATTCCCAGTCTCCAGTTCCTTAGGATCCTGAACACGCGTGTGTGGACATGTGTTTCAGGCTGACTCAAAGATCCACCACCCATTTAACTTCTAGCCTTGCAGAATACTTGTATTACCGCTGAACCACAACAGCTGGGCTATACTGGTTCTTCTATTAATAATTAAACATTAGAAATACTTTTTTTTTAAATTTACACTTAATTAGTTCTATTTCCCATTTGTATATGCTTTCTTCTACATGAAGAATCCTGGTTCTCAAGATATTAGACATAACAGAGTTAGAATATCCCATAGTGATTTACTTGCTTTGTCTAATATTATATTTGCACCAGTAAATAACAAAACCAAAGCTGATATGATTACTGGTAAGTTACCTATTATTTCCGCCCTTTTATTTAATCATCAGAGTACAGCCTACCAGAAATATACGGCTGAATTATTATTTTAAAGTCACTTCAAATAGCTCCTCCCTGGGTTTTAATGCTGTCAAATGAAACACATTAAGTTCATTTGTTCGTTTTTATTGTCAACTTCAATTTTTAGGGGCTTAAAAAAAAAAGTGAGTAAAATAGTTCCAAAGTCAAATATATAAAACAAAGATATTTAAAAAAGAGGTTTGGGGTCAGCTGGAGATGTGGTGGTTAAGGTGACTGGATCCTACATGGCTAAACTCATGGTTTGAGTCAAAGACGTCGAGGCTTGAAAAACACTTGCCAGACATGCATCCATGTGGAGGAGGGAGAAATAGGTAAGAGGCTACAGTCTAACCAGATCCTATTGGGGGGGGGACTTTCTCACCCGCCCCCCCAACCCCTACAGCATAAGTGGGGAAGGGGGAGACACTGAGAGAGAAAATTATGTTCACTTTAATATTCCCTTAGAAACTACTGTTGATTAATATTCTGATGACAATCTAATTTTCTTTCATTTAAGGATCTTTCGGGGTGGGCAGAATTCCACACTATCTTTCCTCTTTAAATTCCAATAATTACACTATTTCTCAGTATGAGTTATCTTAGGTACATGAGATGTCCTTATGATAATGTAGTGTGAAAAACAATTTTTTTAAAAGGTTTTTGCTATAGGGAGTGTGCACTGAACCGGAGAGAGACAGAGAAGGAAAGTGAGAAATCAGCCGCTTCCCCCAGGCTGGTGAATGGCCATGCTGCAATGCATTCTCCTCTCTGGATTTTGGACATGCACACACATGTGCCTGGTGGGATTTTCAAGTTGCTGGGTCCAGAACGCAAAATCACAGAATTGACCATATGGAAATCCAGTGCCTTAACCATCATACTACCTGTTGGCCATGTGAAAAATATTTTTTAACTTAAGAATGGTTTTTCTTTTTTAAAATTATTTATTTAATTTTATTTATTCTTCCATTTATTTTAATTTGACCAGAGAGAGACAGAAAGAGAGAGGGGAAGTGAGAAAGCAAGCCACCATGTCCAGGACTTGAACTGTGGTCGACCATGTGGGAGTGTCCAGCGCCTTAACCATCATGCCACCCGCTGGTCTTAAGAATAGTTTTTCCTATTTGCAAGTTTTTTAGTACTTGTTCAGTTCTATTTTTTTTTTTTCTAGCAAACTCCTATTTGTTGAATAGTCAGTCTTGCCCTACTTCCTATATCTGTCACTTTCAAATATTTTTTTTTTTTGGGGGGGAGTTATTAATGTATCTTAAAAGATGGAAGCAATTATAAACTTTTTCCTAAAGCTTTTTTTTTTTCCCTTTTTTCTTTAAGGCTTTCGTCATAAGGCATGTGCCTTTGCCAGAGAGGAGGAGGGAGAGTGACAGTTAGAGGGAAAGCAAGAAATCACACCTTGGAAGGATGGCCACGCTGCAATCCCTTTTCCTTCCCTTTCTTCCCAGGATTCTGGACATGCATGCAAACACGCCCAGTGTGATTTCCAGGTCTGGGACTGGAAATGGAGTTGACCATGTGGGAGTTCAGAGCCTCAACCACCATGCCACCTGCTGGGCCCTTTCCTAAATCTTCTGATTTTAATTTGCTTCCTTGATATGCTTCAGTATATAGTACTAAAATAAAGATACCTTCCTATACAACTACA